GCCAAGCTGCAAACACCCGAATAATCGCCTGCGAGCACTTATTCTTACAAGAAGAGAAAGAAATGAAGAATTAATAATTCTTACATCTCTGAGTTTATGTTATAATCACAATGCATACTCTGAATAGAGAGATATCAGTGAGATGTCTACTTAACTTTAGAATAGATACTAACTTCATATTCGCTTTCTTTTCTTTGATGAAGAATTAAAAGAAGATAGATCTGTCAGATTATATAAAATTTACTGATGAAATGAAATATCATAATTTTGACATAATTTAAGTGAAGTGTATGATCACAGACTCAGAAGAAATCTTCAAGAAAAGCAGTCTGCTTCTTCACATAGTTAATATTATAGATGAGAATGTCATTCTAGATCTCTTATAATTAAGAGAAAACAATTCTCTCATCGACTGAGTTACTCAGATGTGACAGTATTATCTCACTAATAAAGAGACAGTGATAGAGAAATCTGAAGAGTTTTATTGAAAGAATCTTGAGAAAAAGATAGAGGTGATATACTGTATAGCAGATGATTGAAACTTGAAGATAGATAAAGAAGTTATCATTCTTGCTGCAAGATTAGCAGCAGTATCTGTTATTAAAGACAGATGTATATGACATCTCTTTACAGATTATAAGAAAATCTTTTTGAAAAGAGAAGCAGTGAAGTTTTCTGACATTAAGATATGATATAAGATTTACTTTGAAGACAGTGTAATAATGCTTTACAGATCTCTTTACAACTTATCTGTAAAGAAATTGAATGTTCTATGCAAATATCTTGAAGAAGCACAATCAAAGAACTGAATATACTTATCAAAGAGTTCAGCAGAAACATCTATACTCTTTGTACTTAAGAAGAATAATAGACTACATCTATGCATAGACTACAGACATCTCAATAAGATAACAGTTAAGAATTACTATTCATTATCATTAATTGATGAGATGATTGATTGATTATCTGAAGCAAAGATGTTCTCAAAGATTAATATATGAGATATCTAGCATAGAATCAGAGTTAATGAAGACAACATTTGAAAAACAGCTTTTTATATCAAGTACAGTAATTTTAAATATCTTGTTTTATCTTTTGATCTTTGTAATGCTTCAGCTATCTTTCAGACCTATATAAATAAGACACTGCAGAGTCTTGTTAATATCTTCTACATAGTATATCTGAATAACATTCTAATCTTCTTAAAATCAGAGAAAGAACATGATACTCATATTCAAGAAGTGTTGAGTCACTTGAGACAGTATTAACTCTATGTAAACACTGAAAAATGCTCATTCTACATACAGAAGATTGATTTCTGAGATTATATTATTGAGATAAACAGCATTTCAATGAGCAGAAGCTGAGTCTCTGTTATTGAGAACTGACTGATGTCATGAATGTACTGTAAGATGCAGATATTTCTAGAATTTATAAATTTCTACAGATGATTCATCTATACATATTCATAGATTACTGCTTCTCTTACAGATCTGTTAAAGAGAAGTGTGAAAGATAGAAAAATAAAACTGTCTATTCTCACTCAAGACACTGTGCAGATGTTTGCTGAATTAAAACAAGCTTTCACAGATATTATAATACTGAATCACTTTAACTCTGACTTACTCAGTCAGTGTGAGACTGATGTATCTGAGAATGAAATCTGTAGAATCTTTTCACAGTTGACACTGAAGATCTTTCAATATTGAAAGAATCAGAGAATAATCATCTCTAAAACAACAGATAATAAATTATCTGTGAAAGAAGACTTTTTTACAGAGTTTATAAGACACTGTGAATATAGATCAGTGATCTTCTTCTTCAAGAAGTTATCACTCACACAGAGAAGATATAATACTCATGATTAAAAGATATTAGTAATTGTTAAATTCTTTAAGATCTGACAACATTATCTTCAGAGTAGTAAGTACTCAATACAAGTTCTCACTGATCATGCAAATCTGCATTACTTCTTGATAATAAAGAGCTTGACAGAATGTTAAGTCAGGTGAACAGAGCTGCTTTCAGAGTATGATTTCTATATCTGATACTGTTCAGATCAGCTTAACTCTGTCAACACACTGTCTAAACAGCTCAATTATAATATCATTAATACAGAGAAGAATTCTACAAAAGAATCTCTGTCATCACTGTAGAAGAAGCTGACTGCAGAGAATTGAGATTCTCTAAAGCTTAGAAACAGCACTGATAAGACAGCTGTGTGACTCAGTATAGAAGATGAAAGAAAACCTGAATCTCTGCAGAGAACTGACACTGAAGATTATGAGTTTCTCATGTTATATCTTACAATCATTAAATTGATAAAGAATGAAACAGTCTATAATCTTTTAATTTAACTACTTTTGAAATTCATTAATAAGTTATAGAAGAAGAACATCTCTACTACAGCTTAAATTCAGAAGTTGAAGAAGAAAGAATCTGATTTGAACTTGAAAGAGACAGACTCTGAGCAGAATGATACTGCTAAGAAATCAAGTCACTGATAACTAGAAGAATGTGAACTTCTACTGCTGAATAATTCAGTCTTTACCTGTCATAGTAGAGCAGTGTATCAGAAGTTATTGAGAATTCATTATAATAATTCTTATACAGAATACTTTAGATTAGAGAAGACTGAGAAGCTTCTAAAATATAAATATATTTAAGACAAGCTTCAGACAGATGTTAAAGAGTATATTAAGACTTACAATATCTATTAAAGAATAAAGATTCTGTGATATAAGTAATACAGTGAGTTGATATCACTGTCTATTTCAATGAGTCTATAATAGAATCTATCAATGAATTTCATAGTTGATCTGCTGAAGTTAATAAGAGTCAAAGAATATGACTCAATTTTAATCATTATTAACTGCTTTATGAAGATAATCAGATATATTTCTACTTATAAAAAGATTAAAGTCTCTGAATTGACTGATCTGTTTTTAGATATTATTATTTATAATCACAGTGCTCTGAAATTATTGATAACAGATTGAGAATTTCTCTTTATCAGTAAATACTGATCAGCTTTTTACTATTATTTTATAATAAGACATCTTCTCAGTACTGCTTTTCATTCACAGACAGATAATCAGACTGAATATCAGAATCAGACACTAGAATAGCATCTTTAAGTATTTTATTTATATTATCAGAATAATTGACTTAAATATCTTCTAATTACTGAATTTATATATAATAATGTAAAGAATATAATCTTAAAGATATCTTCTTTCTATACTTATTATAAATATAATTCTTCATTACTCAGTGACATCACAGATAATATTTTAAAGAGAGAAATAGATAGTCAGAATATTAAATAGATACAGAGAACAGAGTATTTCTTAGTATTAGAAGTAAAAGTAAAATTGAAACTTTTAAATAAAATTTATAAGAAGATGATGAAAGTATTCATCATACTTAGAAGTAGTAGATAAAAATACTATAATTGAAAAATATCTTTTAATGAAGTTC